AATGGTAACCCCCTAAAGGGAAACTATACTGTACTCAAGAAATCAACGTCAGCCAGTCAAGTGCTTTGTCGATCATAAGCAGAGGGTCTAAAGAGAAAGAAGGGTTTTCCTCCGAACTTACCTTCAGCTACGCCAGGACGAGGTGGCCAAGCTTTGACCAAGCGCTGCCGACGATAATCCAACAAAGCACCTCATATTTTCACTTCACTTTCACTTAACTTATTGTCACAATATTTAATTTTCACACACTTGGTCCTCTTTCTTTCCTTTACCCCATCATCTCGTGTCACACTTTAGACTTCTTGGACTCACATTTTATATCTTTCCTGCCCTAGGCAGGAAACGGGTGCCAATGACTACTTTTCCTTATGCCGTCGTGTACTGTAGACTGCTGAGGAACGCTGTAGTGACGTCATTCAATGCGATGGTCTCTCCGGAACCGGTCTTCCTGTCACCCACTCGCACGAGATCGAAGAACATTTGTTTTTCCGGGAAGCTCTGCCACTGTGTTGCAGTGGGGTAGGCTGGTAGGCTTAGCCTGGCGCCGCTGGGGCGCCGGGGCCGTCGTAGGGGCCGTTCGTTTCAGCGCTGAGTACCTTATCAATTGAAGGAAATAGTTATCCGTTTGCACTGTTGCTCTACACTACCAAAAACTCGCGCTATCCTCTCAATGGAACTCTGCTGAAATGAAAGTGGCGGCTTGATAAGGAAAGATGCCGCCGTCAGTTTTGTTTTCTTTAAAAGGATCTCTATGTACTGTACGATATGCTTCAAACTTCTGTTAATCAATGGACGAAACGTCACGGTTCCTTTACTCCGTACCTCAGCAAATCGGCTTGATAAACCTGTTCTGCTGCTACCATTAAAGTTCAAATTTATTTGCACCAAATTGTTTCGTTTTAGTACATGTTGTTCGGGTTTCTTTCGGATGCGAAAGCGGCATGGCAGCACAGTACTCTGAGCCTATTTTATACCCCGCGATAGCGCTTTGCAGCGGAGCGCGGCCCGGCCCTGTGTGGCCCCGGCCTGTGGCCCCGCACCGGCCCCGTACCCCCGGTGGGGTCCCAAGGCGGCACCTCGCGGACCGGGCGGCGCGGCGGGGCGACCACGGCGGCGGTCCCCTCTGGCGCACTACTGGCGCCCCCGGCCGCGGTACCGCTGGCGGCACTGCCCGGCCCGCCCAGGGCCCAGCCACCCGGGCCGCGGCGCAGCCTACCCCACGCGGGGCCGCGGCGCGGGGACCCGACCGTGGGGCGAGGTCGCCACGGTCGCCCCGATCGCCCTACGGCGGGTTCAAAACACTGACGTTGCAGGAGGAAGGAAAGTTCCTTATGTGTTATCTGGAGCCGCACGACAGGATATGGCACCCTCGTTCTGGAAATTCCAAAACAGAGGCCAGGCGAACGACCTCCAGGTTGTACCGCCTTCTGAACCCGTTTTTCCTTCTTTTTTGAGCTTGTGTATGGTTTGCCACCCACCTCCTTGTGGTATACAATAAAGAGGTAATTAAAAACCCAGTCGCCCACCTCGCGCCGTCTTTACCCCGAGCGTTAGGGCCGCTAGTCGTCGAGCTGCGGCCGCGCTACTCCCTGGTGATCATCGTAAGCGCGGGGTATATAAACTAAATCTTCAGAGGCAAAACGCCATGATCGCATATTTTATTCGTTTGAAGATTAACATTTGTACGATATACACAGTAAAAAATATGAGGACAGTCTCTGCAAAAGTCCGCAGATTTGGACGAACATTTGACTACGCATTAACATTACCCACAATTTGTGAAAAAATAAAGTTCAACAAAATACACTGTTGCAACTCAAAGACAGTCAGACACACACAAAGCTCTACAGACAGTGGCTTTTTAAAAATATTGTCGCCCAAATCAAAGGCGCTGTCTATCTAAAAACAGATATCACAATGTTCTAATAGGAAGGGTTCTAAGAACGTCACGCGAGAGGGATACGAAAGATCTAGAGGATACCTACTGTACTCTTGAAACACCTGTAAACATGAGAGGTGTTTGTTTATCCTCTTTCCCGTAGATTGTTTAGTAAGGTTTGGAAGATCGTTCCAGTACACGAGTTCTAAAACCTAGTGTTGAGAATGGAACGGTAGTTAGAACAGCACTACAACTCGATATGTTAAGGAAATATATCACTCAGGCCAAGAAACATAATGCTTTAAACTTGTATATACAAAGTGAGGCCCGCTCTACAGTTTTGAGAATTGCCCCAGAGGCTCGCGTGTAAGACGCTCTGGAGATTTGTAACAATTATGAACCACGAGGTTTCCCATGAGTAGAAACCTGCCATGACCATGCATATAAGATGCTCTGCACGGTCTCACAACTGTTTTGTACATAATATATACGTGTACAGCCATATTCTTATTTTGGGTAAAAAATAATTCTTTTGGAAAAGCTACCTGACTAGTATGGAATGACTGTTTAGTAAGTTTAGTTCTATTTTTTTTTTTTTTTGCATTTTGCATTTGAAAAGTAGCTGAAACCCAAGCACAATGTTTACTATTTTACAATGGGCTTCTGCTTCTACCGTGGAAAATGTTCCCCTGAAAACTTAACAGTGAACATTGTACACAAAATCATAAAAGCACCGAAACAGAACGTGAGCATAGCATGCACACTTCTAAATCAGCTATGCTCGGTGGGTATCAGTGTATGAATACCAATCAGAATACAACGCTCTCGATTATGTTTTCAAAAAACATCTCTGGAAAAGTTCAACAACTGTTGATATACCAACAGCATACTGAATGTGCAACACCATGTCCAATCTTTTGTCATGAACTATTCCAAAGTTGTCTACAAACTTTTTTTTTTACATGCCATTTGCCTGTACTGTTTTGCTAGTTTTTTTGTAAAGTTGTGAACTGTCAGAGGACACATTATACGTCTAAGTATGTCAGTCTACGTCAGTGTTATCTTCGTGCTTACGTTTTTATCATACTCGATAGTAGAGGTTGAATTTCCAATAGTGACACAAGAGGAAGTAGTATTGATCCCAATATCTTTTCGTTTTCGTATTTACAAGACTACTGAGCATAGATCGGGACTGGTCGGCGGTTGCCATGCGCGCGAGTGAACTTGGGACACGCAAGTGCAAGGCGAATGCAGAAAAGAAATAAACTTCTTACTAGTAAAACAAATTAGACTCTCTTACCCTGAAGAGTCGACAACAGTTACAATTTTATGGTACAACGAGCAGATTCACCTCTGTATATTATTTAGCTTTTTTACATACGAAAAACTTTGAAGAATACGACTGCTGCGTTTGTAAATCTCGTACCTCCGACTGCACGTTCGTTGAAACGATTTAATTTTCTAGTTAGTTTCGTCGTAAAACCTTGGGAGCTTGCAACGATGGCGTTTTGCAAACCTGCACTGCCTCTTCCACCTTCAGTTAAGAAACACAGACGACGCCCTGGGGCGGTAGAGTTCGTTTTGCTGTGGACGAGCCTTGTTGTACTTGGGGTGGAAGGCGCCCAGAGCCGCCTCGTTGGTCGAGGACGCGCGGGGGTTCCAGTCGAGGCGAGCGTCGCGGCGACCGGGGAATGACGGCCACCTGCAGAGCAAAATGTCACTATTTGATGACGTCCACCCGCTGCTCACGCGTTTGCCATGAAATCAATTGCTAATCGATTGCGCGGTGTATTTCTGTCTCCGTGACCAAGCTCACCGTAGAGGGAGCTCGCCGGCAAAGCAGGGGCAAGAGGTGCAGCGCGCGGAGATGGCGGGCCAGCGCAGGGTCTGCCTGTTCAGCAGCCAGTACACGACGGGATTGATGGCGGAGTGCGTGTGGCCCAGCAGGAGCACGAAGGGCAGCAGCTCGCGCACCGCCTGCACAAAACATTACATTTTTCTTTATTTTGCAACCACCTGCGTTGTACGAATTTCAAGGGGACAGACCCGGTAAAAGCTGAAATGCAAGGTTTTCTGTTGACCAAGGTCCAAGAAAAAATATTTTTTGAAGGAGCTGATGAATGTCACAGCAAATTCGTGATAAAGATTCGTAACAACCATGACTTAAGTCACACTTGGGATTGCAAGCAGTCACGCGGTCACGTTCGTGTCGCAGAAACACGGTTATTTGCTCTTCCAAGTGAATGAGTGAGAAGTCTTCCGGTCTCCTTGCAGTATGTACTTTTTGAGGTATTTGGTCCGAAAGTGAGCTCTTTCCACCACTTCTCCACCGCCCTTCCCTCGCCTTCCCCGCATATTTGCCCCCGGGTGGGAGAGTGGGGGAAAGAGAGTCCCCTATTGCCTGGGGGCAAACATGCCGGGGAAGGATGGGGAAGTGGCGCGGAGAGCTCACTCTTGAACCGGCGTATCGACTTACTCTTTAGATTGCATTTTTAAGTCCCACCCCCACCATAAAACCTAAGATTGGCAGGGGTAATTTTTGATACATATCAAAATCGAGGAACCAATATTTGATGAAAAGGGCTGAACTTTCAATCTCTTATTTGTCCCCGAATAACTATGATTTTTTTTCAAAGTTCTACCACTAGTTTGTCACCGTTCCATGATTCGTAGGGTTGACCGGTCATGTAAGACCACCTACCTCGCCGTCGACGGCCAGCTCGGCGTACATCCGCACCACGACGTAGGGCAGCCAGCAGGTGGCGAACACGCCGCCCAGAGCGACTAGCAGCTTGGCGAGGCGGCGTCGGCTTTGGAGCGACTGGCGCGAGGCCTGTTTGACAAGGGGCGGCCTCCGGAGGCGGCGGTTGGCGCGCACGATGGCACGCTCCGACCGGGACGCTCTCCGGACGCGCGGCCCACGAGGCCCGTGCCGCGGCTTGCGCGGCCGCCGCTGCCACTCGGCCAGGTCCGCCCGGATCTGCTCGTGGGCGTCGTCGTCGTCCGAATCGCCGTCGCCTGGCCCGTGGAGCGGCACCACCTTGGACTGGCCGTCGGCTATGATGATCACCTGAAAGTAGATTTGTATTTTAACTTGCTTCAATGAGAATATGACGAAAACATTTGCTCTTTTTTTACCAAACAAGGTAAATAAGGATATCAAATTTGCGAGGACATGTTATGCTAATTTTGTGTGTAGTTAGTACCTGTCTCGGCTTGCGGGGCGCAGGCAGGGGCAGCCCGGCCGCGGCGGGGACGCTGGCCGTCGCAGCGGCGCAGAGCTTGTGGCCCACGGCCCAGTGGCAGCCGGCCACCGTGAGGCACGGCACCAGGTACACCAGGCCTATGTGGCTCAACGCGTACGTGGTGCGCAGCGACGGGTTGGTCCACGACTCTTCGCACTGCCCCGCCTGCGGGAAGAAGAAGTTATTTGTACCGGCGGAACCATGGCGAAGGCCCCTGTCGTGCCCTGTTGTCACTCACCTCGCCGACGTCGCGCACGGTGATGACGGGCCCGGAGACGGCTGCGGCGCCCAGCCAGACGAACACCACCATGGCGGCGGGGAGCCCGCTCTGGCGGCCCATCCTGGCGAGCACCCTGGGGTGCTTGACGGCCGCGTATCGGTCCAGGGACAGCATCATGAGCGACAGCGTGCTGGCGGCCACGGGCATGGTCTGCAACAACAAGGGAGCGGAAGGCGTCAAGTCCAGCGCCACACGGCGGCGGGCGTCCTAGAGACACGACGACAACGACGAAACGCACCTGGAAGAAGAAGGCCAGCTTGCAGGCGAAGGAGCCCAGCGTCCAGGAGGAGGAGGCCACGGCGGCGGCCGACACGGGCACCGTGACGCCGCACACGAGCAGGTCCGAGGCGCAGAGTTGAAGCAGCAGCAGCGACCGGGACCGGCCGCCCGGCTGCGACATGATGGCCGCCACGATGCCCACGTTACCCACCACCCCCACCTGTCGACAGAACACACCAAATCAGTCTGGTCGTTTACTTCAGGTTTTTCCGTGAAACGAGATTTTTCTTTTGCAGCTGGGGGGCGGTTGAGATCTGGAAGTCCGAAACTATCCTGGAAAAATTCTTGAGAATTGACATATTCACAGATTTTATTTTTAAAATTTTGATTTTTGTTTCTACAACCCTTATTTGAAAAATGTAATCCCTAGCGGCGGTTCGGCGGTTGGCGCGTAGCGAGACTGCAGCGGGTCCGCCCGCGTATGGCATGAGCGTGACACTTTGCACCCTGCTTCTCCCGTCACTCTCCGCTGGGGAGCGAGACGTCAAACACACCCGTCTCCCTTCTCGCTCGCCCGCCCCTCTGTCTCCCTCCCCCTCCACCATTGTGTGTGTGTGTGCGCCCCTCCCAGCCCTCTAGACCGCAGACTGAGCCGATGCACAGAGGTCCTCGAGGCCGGGGGAGCGGGCGGTATGGAGTGCTCCCCTGCTCCCCTCCCCCTCACTGACCGCGAGCACCACGCCGTACAGCCAGACGAGCACCGCCACCCGCTGCAGGTGAGTCTCGTCCGCATCGTCGTAGTCGGGCTGGGCAGTGGAGGAGCCCGCCTCCGTCCAGTTGGTGGGAGACGGCCATTCCGACATGGCTCACTGCGGACAAGAAGACAGCATTGTCTGTAGGTGGAGGCAATTCAAATAAAACTGTAAGAAATATGTCCGTACAATCACGATTCATTTTCTGATTCACCTATTACGAAACGTGTCCTGTACCTCCCACTCTTGCTCGTCATTCGATTCCTAGTCAATTAACGCGGTGCTTGTAAATGCGAGGAGTCCACCACTCGCGTAATCCTGTGTACAGATGAGGGTGTAATCCCTATTAAATCCTTATGTATTCCGTGTAATACTTGGCCATAAATTTGAAACCATTATCACCAAATTTCACATTTTGTCCAAATTTATTGGTTTTAGAGCCAGAAATTCAACAAAATTCATCTCTAATCCCTCGAAAATCACTGTTATCACGTAATCTTGTGTAAGTCCTCAATCGAAAAGGTGGCCCCCTCCCCTCGTGTAAATGTACAATTTTGAATTGTTAGCCCATTGCAAGAAATCTTTCATGGGAAAGTTTCATGTGCTCGGTACGACAAATTCTCACGGTGAATATACGCTGTGACATGTTCTTACATTTTCTCAGTCGCTTACTTTATTCTGAACACGCCAGGTACGGTTGGGTTAACAATTCTTGGTTAATTGGGACCTACAGTGTGGGTCCCGCCCGAGGCGGCCACCACTTCCGTATACCTGTGTACGGATTAAAGTTTAGTCCATGTAGCCCCTATGTAACCCGTGAAATACTTAACCAAATTCTGAAAAAGTATCACTAAATTTCTCCTCATTATCGAAATTTGATGGTTTTATCTCCAGAAATTCAACGAAATTCATGTGTAATCCCTCTAAATTCACGTGTAATCCCTGTAATCACGCAAACCTGTGCACATCTTAAAGTGTGGCTCCCTCAGTCACGTCGCACTAACGTTGTAAGAACCAGTGAAGCCCCTGCAGACGGCAGCGTAGGCTACCCGCTCAGCTTCACTGCGTCGCACATCACGAGTTGCCTAACTACCAGGCGTTCGCTTGCTCTCTCTTTCTTACACTTCTTATCGGAGATTCCTCCTCCGTGTACACTCCGTAACCGGCTGTTGTTCGTGCAAAAGGTTTGCGTCTTTTACCACACACGCCCTAGCTTATAAATGCAAATGTCGTCCCCAAATATAAATTACAGTATACGCAAGTCTCAAAGTGCTTACCTGAGATGACGCCTCGCGACCCCCGGCTTCCTCACGGCACGACGGCACGCCTCGCTCCATCTGCAAAGAAAAGAGAAGCGTGTCTTGTCAAGAAACGCCAGGCGAAAAAGTGAAAAACGTTCTCTTGCTGTGCTCCCCTCCCTTTCCTTTCGCCCCCTATATATGCACCCCTACCACCATTCACGATCCTTTCTTCTCCCTGCTGTGGTCTAATCGCCCCCAAAGCCCGCCACACGCCCCTCCCCTTGCCTTCAAGTCTGTATGAAGAGCTCCCCGTGGACATGAGCGGGTTGGAGGTATGGGAAGAGGGGGGGGGGGGAGAATCTCACGTGTCGATACAACCGCCTCCGCCGCCCTCTCTTTCTGGTCCTGGATTCATGGAGAATAGATTGTTCGTGATGTAGCCTGGGTTGCGGTGCGACCCTCCTCTCCCACCACCCCCTTCCCCTTTGAAACTCCTCCCCCATAATTGCCGCCCGCCTAGCACGACCAGCACCACTACCACCACCACCATCACCACCCCGCCTGCTCGCGGAAAATGTTTACTACGTCACGACCAAAGGCCAGAGAGCAAAAGGTTGGCCGAAATAAATGTGGATCTCGATCTGAAACCGCCACTCTCCTCCCACCCGCCTCCTTTTCTCTCTCCGGCGCGCCGCGTTTTCTCTCCTTTTCCAAATCATTACGCCAAACCACCCGAATCACTCGGCGGTCTAGTCGAACCGTGACAATGGTCCTGCCCCCGGGCGGTCGCG